ACAAAGACCTTGTTTCCATGGATGGCAATTCAATTCTCAAATTAAATTATTTAAATTTTTCATCAAAACTTTTCTTTCAATATATATTTCTAAAGAGATTTTATCTTTTCACTATCATAAAATCATATAATAGCTAGAAAGATCATTAAAATTTTTTATTTCATTTATACTATTGGAGGAATATAATCAGATTAAATTATTATTTTCATGTCATGAAAACTATAAAATTTAGAGTATTGTTTAATATTTTAATTTCTTCTTTTATTATATTTGATAAAGTAAAATAATTTGAAGTAAATCCTTAACTAAAATTATTCTTTTACTTTTAAATAAAAGTATATAATAATTTAAAAGTGATAATAAATGAAAATTGAATTTTGACATATCAAAATGATAATTATCAACTAAAAAAAATTCTGAAAGAGAAATCAATAATGATTAAAATTAATAATCATGGGTGATGATGAAGCCTTTTAATAATTTTGTAATTTCAATTCTTCAATTATTGAACATTCAAAAAATTAATTGTTAATAGTTTTCTCCAATTTGAAATTTCATTCGATTTTATATAAATTAATATTATAAATATCTGAGAAAAAAGATTCTATAAAGTTTAAAAAATTGGTGTATCTAGATATTGCTAATTAAATTTACAATCAAAATAGGATTTGTCTTACCAATATATATTAGTAAAAATTATTTTAGCAGGTGATTTTAGATGCTTCTGCTTAGTTGATTTAGGCATACACTTTGACAGCTTAGATAATAATTAATTGTACTAAAATGAGACTAGCTTGCCTTATTTTATTTCCTTAAATATTATTGTAAGTAAGATGGATAAATAGGACCAATTACTTTGACTGTAAGTATACATTGAAAAAAGGACGGACGTGATAATAGATACTTCCAGTTTCATAACTATAACAATTGGTTAAACCCTAAATAAAACAGGTTATAATTTGCTTGGTTTTGAAATAATTTAACTACTATGAATTGTAAAAATGAAGATTCATCAGCTATTTATAAAAAAATAACAATGTTTGCACCTTAAGATGCAGGTTTTACATCAGTTGATAAAGTATAGATATTTTAAATATTTTTTTAATTCTATTATCCTAATATACATAATATAATTAGAATTAATTTAATTATTATGATTGAAACCATTACAATAAGACGTTATGAATACATTTAGGAAATTAGATTAACAGATGTCATCACATGCCAATAATGATTCAGTATCTACTACATCTATCAAGGATAAAAAATAACTATAGGTACCACAAAGAATGTTGTTGATTAAAATTTCAGATTTGATGAAGCAACAAAAAGTCAATTCCAAACATATATAGCTCCTCTTTAAGAAATTAATTATAATTTAGAAAGATGGTTAAATCCATAATAATATATGGCTACATTATAAGTTGTTAAAATTTTCTTCTCTAAAAAAATTACCTTTAACTTGATAATTAATATATCTCTACTTAAAAAATCAATAATATCAGTACAAATTATTCAGAAATATAAGATAATAGCAACAGTAGGGAGCCATTATGATAATCTTTTAGATTATTTTCATGATAGGTGGGTATATGAGCACAGAGATTACTAAAATTAAATTTAAACACGCTAATCCAGAAACAGTTACTTTATATTCAAATGATGGACTAAATTTATATATTTATAATGAATATACAACTAAAATAAATCATATAGTAATTATTTATAAATTAGCTAAGTGGATTACATTTGTTCGTAAAGTTACGCTATAACTTTGATATCTAACACTTGCAGGATTTATAATAATAAGTGCTATTATATATAATTATGGGCAGAAGCCTTTATTAGTATTTTACTTGGATAAATTTTTAATTTTTAAATATCTTTAATGTCTTAAAATGGAATTAACTTAAAAATTAACATAAATTCTCATTTCTTTTTTTAATATTCCTCTCTCTCTGCAAAGATTTTTTCATATCTCTCTCTT